AAATAGATTTCATGTGCAATACACTGGTGAGGATGACTGAAAGCTGACACATGTGCCATTTTGGAGAAGCCGGAATGAATATTTCAAGGAGATTGAAATTACACTTGATTGCATCAAGCTCAGCAAATGTTGTTTAACCTAAAAAAGTCTTTACAGTCTGAAGGAAAAAAAGACGTTCGGTGGCAGTGTATCTTATTTTTAAAAGTCTGAAGCACATGTTCACCAAAAGGGAGGAGGAAAAAAGCCTCAAACTCCGACGAAACCTCCACTGATTATATAGTGCTTTGCCACTAGGAATTAACTCTGGATCACCCCATAGTGCATATATAATGTGTGTGTTGCTGGGGAGGGGATGGGGTATGGCGAGAAGTAAAAACTACTCCACAGAAAGGTTTAGCAAGATAGTGTCAGATCCTTGTGAATGTGTTTCCTATAAAAAGATTCTCCACTCCTCACCCCCAGGGTATCATGGGGATGCAGTGAGAGGTTTATTAGAGATTTAAACCTTGGCATCCAAACCTTGCCAAGCTTGCAAGTTTTAGCTGGTGAACTTAGTGTTCCTGGCTTGTTCCTTTCCTGCTACTGGCATCCAGAAGTGATGTTCTCTGATTTGCCTTCACGCTGCACTAGTCTGATGTCAGTGGGTGCAGGAGGAGACAGATGAAACACAAAGGAAGAACAGGATTTCATTTGAAGAAAAGTTAAGTTAGGAGAGAGGGATACACGAAGAGAGGGTGTGTGAGGAGGGAGGGAAAGAAAGAGAAAGAGAAAGAGAAAGAGAGAGAGAGAGAGAGAGAAAGAGAGAGATTTTCAGCTCTTGTCAAGTGGAAGTGAGACTTCTAATTCACATGTGTTTTTGATTATTTAAAATTCATGGGGGCGGGGGATTGGAATCAGCAAACATAAGAGATTAAAAAGATAGCCTTGAATTAGAAGGTAGTTTTTAAGTTAACTTTGGCATTTGATAAGTCTGATCTGATTTCAGCCACCTTATTTGTCTTGCACAGATCTTAAGAACTTGCAAGGTGAGTTTCTCCCCATTCATACAAATAGAAGAATTTACAAGGAATAGAAAAACTGCTTTTTGGTTAACCCCCCCCCCCCAATATCCACAATTCTGACAATTAATGTTCATCAATACCTAATATTATCACAAAGCCTCCAGCAAAGCCCTCATTATTTTACGTGGAGGCTGCCCACATGCCTGTTTCCATTCAATAAAATCTACCCTCTTACTAAACCGGCACACTTTCAGAAAAAAACCTTAGAGTAACATTAACAGGCCTTGGAAAATGTTATATCATTAACAGGTTAAAAATATAATTAACAATGGCTGTCAGGGGTAATAGACCAAAAAATTGCACTGGGGATATTTTAATTGAAAAAAATGTTTTACCACATTTTTAAAAAATTCTCTGCAAGGGTCAGTGGAGAACATATTTGGATTCTTATTTTCTTTCCCCCCCCCTCATAGTTCCTTACAACACTGAACTTCTGCAACCACTTGAAACAGCACACAAAAAAAATTAAGCACCTAATTACTTCAAAGTCCTAACAAAAGAGCACTGAGTAAAACATTGATTTTATTATGAATAATAGACTGTAGCTGTGACTGTACTGAGGTTTTATTCTAATACAATGAACTTAAAATGCATTACTACCCCAGTGATAGTATTTGTATCTGAGATTAACTTTTCTTCTTTAGTTTTTTTTTACTTAATGAACTTTATCTATACATAATATACAAGGGGATTTGTGTTTACTTTTAATAATGTACACATCTAAATGAGCATACGTATGTAAGACTGGTTCATTATAATATTCCCCTTAGCCTATACTCCCATGTTAAAAAGGTAGTATTTATTAGCACAATGAAAAATTTCCCCTGGCTTTCCCACTGAAACCTTAGACCCTTGATGAGAATAGTGAAATGTGGCACTTAGTGTAAAAAAACAAAAACAAAAACAAAAAACAATGCTAATGTTCAGCATCTCCTCCTCCTCCTCCTCCTCCTTCTTCTTCCCCTTCTCCTCTTTCTCTTCCTTCTTACTCTTCCTTCTCTCTTTCTTTTCCTCCCTCTCTTTCTCTCCTCATTTTAGAGTCAGTATACATGGAAAGATGAAAGGAAACAACAAAATACTTAACTTTTGTACTTTTGACTATAAATGTTAATTTTACAATTAACCTTAGAAATGTATTTGCTGATACTAGCCATCCTTTCAAGTATAATATATACATTGTTTTGCATTTCTATATATTTTAAAATAGGGGATTTGGGATCATGAATCAATCAGTACTTTTGGCATTTAATATTTTTAATCATTAAATAACATCTCACCCTAAGCAAGTACCTTGGGGGAAGTATCCAAAAGGATGCTGAAGAGCTCAATGTTCATTCACACATTTGCACATGAAAAATGATTGAACTGAATTGATAATTCAGCAAAAAAAAAAATGTTCTGAGTCCTATTATGGGTGAAAATTGCCACATCTATACAGTAATCAAGCAATGAATTAAATGTGTAAAGTAAATCATGCAAGTTGTCTGTAATCCCAAATAATAGAGTCTCAGTATTTCATGGTTAGACGGGACAATGTGGCCATGTAGTCCAACTTCCTCATCAAGAAACACTGTTTATTGATTGATAAAATAATCATTGCTGGAGTAGACATTTTAAGTGATTGTCCAACCTTTACTTGAAGACCTTCACTGAGAGGGGAATCCATTACTTCCTGAGGCAACCCATTCCAATTGTGGGTATCTCTGTTAGGAACATTTTCCCTATATTGAACATAAATCACCTTTGCAACAGTTGATTAGGTGAACTAAAAAAAAATACTATTACTTTTTTCATATCACCTCTAATGAAATAATATTAAATTTGGGTCTTACAATGCAATTGTAAAAAATAAAAAAATATAGACTGCAACTACATATATACATATATATGATTTCTTGCCTCTGCCTGCATTTTAATAATATTTTATTGCTAAAATAAGTGTATGTAAGGGAGAGAGGTGAAGATCAGCAAGGGAGGGTTTGTGAGTTATTTGGGCACAAAGCTAAGGAGGGAGGTACTTTTGGTAAGAACATTTAGAGATACATGAATAATTGTTAAAGACTTAAAAAATCAACTTTCAGAAAGTAAGAAATCTTATTCCTGCCCATTCAACTGTATTTATTAAGAGATATAAGAACAGGGATCAAATATCAGGGATCTAGTACTATTCTTTAAATCAGAAGGGCTTAGGTTTTAATTTGGCCTCTGACAAGCCGTGTGATGATAAACAAATCACTTGAATTCTTTAAACCTCATCTGCAAACTCTGGATGATGCCTGTGGTACCTACTTCTTAGAGTTATTGAGATATAGTATGAAAATGCTATACAGTCTGTTGTTGTTATTATTACTATTATTAATGATAATAAACAGCAATGGGCTGATTAATGATTAGCAATTAGTTCTCTGAAGGAAAAAAATGTACAGGGAAAAACTTTTAAACTTAATCTGCATTATTAACATTTTCTTATCACTTTCTTAAGTCTAGACAATCAATAAAACAATAAATCAAATGTTGATTTTTAGTTGGTCAATTCCCCAAGTGGCAATGCTCACTCTGAACATTTAACAACTGGCTCTTGGCTGCTGTTTTGAGCTCTCTCCACCATACCTTTCTTAAAAGCATTACAGAATTTTAGGGTAATTGACACAGAAGTCATCTAGTTAAACTTCCTAAATTGGCAGCAGTTGATACTAAAACTCAGAGAAGGAAAATTATTTACTTGCTCAAGGTTAATAGGTGACAAAACTAAGTCCTGAACCCAGTTCTTCTGACTCCACATCACTTAGTGTCTTTTCTGATACACTTTCTTCCACCACAGTTTGATACTGACAAATGCTGGAGAAAATGAGAAAACCAATTCATAGAGTTTGTGAAATATACCAAGTAAATGTAGTATATTCTTAAAATGGCAAGTATGGAACAAAATAAGCCATAGGAAAAGGTATACTACTGATGGTTTTGTGAAGGTCAAATGGATAAATATGTATTTCCATATATTGAATATAGTCACTTAAAATATTTTCCAAGATGTCAGGACTCTACAATTCCTGGACCTAGCATTATAGGGAGAAACATCTTTGAATAATTTTAACTCGATTAATTAGGATGACTTAAAAAGAATTTTAAAGATCTATAACATGGCAGCCTCGAACATTTTTCTACATGAAAGTTCCATGATCTTCCCATCAATATGTGATATAAAATAGTTGTACCATGAATAAAATGGACTATTCAGAAATAACCTGAAAACACATATTTCCTCCTCTCAAGGAACTTCAAAGTCAATTTTTTAAGAGTCTCACTAAACAAACAAACAATAAAGTTCTCCTAAATATAATTTGTAATCCTTGCATACATTTATTTTAATATTACTAAATTCAAATTCAGGATATTTCTAAAGCTGCATCCTAGATATATAATGCTGAACTTAGAACTTGGAGATATGGAAGCAAATTGCTCCTCAGAAACTTCCTAGCCATGTGAGGCCTCTGACAGCCTCAGTGTCTTCATCTGTAGAATGGATGTACAATAAGTAAGACTCTTATACTACCTACATAACAGAGCTATTGAGAGGAAAGTATTTGGGAATTTTAAAGCACAATGGAAATGTGAGTTTAAATTTTTTTTTGTAAGTCTATTATAAGGAGGAAAGAAAAAAAACCTTAAAATTGACTGGGAATATATGGCCAAAATCATTTAGTTTATCCTTTAAGCGTCTCTCAGGAAGATATTCTACATTTGTTGGGGGAGAGGATTTTTATGGGTCCATAAGAAGCCCTTGAAAATGGGGAATCTATGAAAAGAAAAGTTAGAGTCCTTCAGTGACACCACCATAACACCAGCATCCATTTGAGCTTATTTCCTTAGCCATTCCTGAGCTTTGGCCTGATCTCTAACTCTTACCCACCTTTTTTTTTTTTATTTTGCTTTGTTTAGGAATCATAATAAATGTGCCAACCAGAGGACAAAGGTAGCTGAAGACATCGAGCCATGCCTGTTACACAGAAGCTGTTGAAGTGTTGTGAGATCTCCAAGGTTCAGCTGTGCTGAAAATCAGAAAATGACTCAGGTGAGCCATTTCCTTAAACTACCTACCTCAAGATGCTTTATTCTGTCTCCTTTTCAAAGAAAGGCTGTATCACAACACACATAGATGAATAATCTGTCTCTTTCCTTCCCCTCGTTAACAGATATCTTTCATAATTAATGTTGTTTATTGCCTTTCATCAAGTACATGCCACATCCATTGGGTGATGGAGCAGCCAGGTTCCTAAATACCCATTAAAAGAGCCTGGCACTTGTAAAAAGCTCCAACTGTCTCATCAGGGCAGTTATTATAAGTATCTAGGGTGCCACCAAGTGCAACCCTGGATGTGAATGACAGCTTTCATCTTCACTTTTTTTTGCAATTTCAAAAGAAAACCTAGAAGCCTTTTGGAGGCCCTAACAAAACAATACAGATGCTAAAATAAATCAGTGAGACTTTGAAAAACCCCTTATGTAAAATGTGTGAAATATCTTAGCATATACCAAGCCAGACCCCCAGGTAAATGATGGCTTCTAATAAGGCACATGACAATCTCAATTATGAGAATCATTATTCCATGCTCTGCTTGCCATTTTATATTCCCAGCAGGATATTTTTCTTCTCATCAAGAGTTTCCAAGGCTGTCTACTCTTCCGTATATGTAGAGCATATTTAAAAGCCACCTCCCTCCCCCCCTCAAAAAAGCCGCACTAATTAAAAAAAGCCTTGTCAAGTGGTCAGACAGACTGGAACTAGAGGATTATAGGTAAGAGGGGTAAAATGAAGGATTGAAAGATATAATTTCTCTTTCCGTGGTGGTAGCAGAAGCAGCTGTTATAGACAGGCAATTTAAAGATATGGCTGCTTAAGCACCCTGTCTGGAAAACAGGACACAACAAAACCTCACAGCAAATAATGCCCCCCATTTTTAAGATGTAATCACTGCTAGCTGACTCTGTTGCTATCTCCCTCCCTTTTTCCCTCCCCCCCAAGCCAGTTGCTTTTCTTTGTTGTCACAGACTTACCTCTTTATTCCTGCTTTTGCCCATCTACTTCATGCTTTGGTCTTTTCCATCCCTCACTTGGTTTGTCTTGCTGAGTTAGCAGTAATTCCTAGGCCTTTGACTACTGTTCCATGCTGGTAACTGCTAACCCGCAAAGAACATGCCCAAAAAGGAGGGCCATGGTTTGAAAGGAGAATGGGTGCTCCCAGCCACTGACTTGTTCGTTTTGCAATGTGGATGTTTTAGAATTCGAGCAAGAAGTTTCTTGTATGGAATGATTTAGACAACCGCTCATGTACAAAGGGGTAATTTTGTCTAAAAGACTTGAAATTGAATCACTGTGGAAATCAATATGTAAGAAACTGAAGAACTTGCTCCAAATATAGAATTAATTTTGAATTGTGAGAGTGGTATCAGCTGAGAGCTAATTTTAATTCAGATTGTATATTTTTGTGATATACAAGGAAAATTTCACATTCTTCGTATTGATGAGGTACTTTACAATTTATAATGTGCTTTCCTCATAACAGGCCCATGCAGTAATAGTACAAGTATCATCCCCATTTGACAGGTGAGAAAACTGAGTCTTAGAGCAGTAAAGGTCACAGCTGACACTCAAATCTAGGTCCTTTGCTTCCAGGTTCATTGTTCCTTATACTGATTTCTTTATTGCAGATTTCTATTTGAATTTATACATTCATAGAAATTAGGAGTCAGAAAGAACCTTAAAGGAAGCATGTAGTCCAACCTCTGACTCTATACATACTTTAACTGGAACACAGAGATTAAGTGATTAGAACAAGGTCACATAATTAGTCAGTAGCAGGCTTTTCCTCCTCATTATAGCATATGATTCCTTTAAGAGAAGCTTGTTGATTGGAAGTTAATTGGAGAAACTATAGCCATCAAAATACATGCACACTAAAATTTCCCCATTTTAACCATGAATAATCCATCCATCAATCAAAAGGCATTTATTAAGCACCTGCTTTGTGCAAACCACTGGGCTAGGCCCGGGGGATACAAAAGCAAAGAATGAAACAATTCCTATTCTCAAGAAGTTTACCTTTTAACAATAATGTTTATGGATATACATTGGAATAGAATATACATGATTATATGGATGCATTCAAGGACTTGAAAACTGGCTTTCAACATGCATATGCATTATGTGTATAAAGACAATTTTTAACTTAGGCACCTACATACATTCATATAAATTAGCACAATCCTAGTTTAGCTCCTCTAGAGTTGGTTTGGGAACAAACACCTGCCCTTGTAACCAACACAACACCTTAAGATGGGCTAAAAGGATGTCTAGGAGAGGAGATAGAATATGCCCTTTCCACACTTCATTAGATAGGCCAGCAACATCTTTTAAGAATGTGATCTAGAAAGACAGAAACAAAAACAATAAATGATAGCATATCACCTGTCAGTTTACCATAATAACAGTTATGATATTAACGACAGTTAACTTTTATATAGCACTTTAAGGTTTGCAGAAGTGCATTATTCTCCCGAAAAACCCTGGGAGGTAGGTGCTTTTATTATCTGTATTTTACAGATGAGGAAACTGAGGAAGACAGGTTAACAGATTTACCCAGGTTCATACTGCTAGTAGTTATCTGATTCTGAATTTGAACTCCAGGCTTCCTGATTCCAGGTCCGGCCCTCTATCCAATGTACCATCTACCTGTCTTCATAAAAATATTATTATCATGAAGAGCTGGAAAAATATTTTTATAGGTAGATTCTATTGGTTTTGATGAAATTTAGAGGGCATACTCAAAGAGACAAAAATGAAAATAGATTGTGTAGTACAACAACCAGGCCATGGTCTACTTATGAAAAAAAGATTTTAAAAAAATCTTTTAAAAATTCAGTTACATCCATATGCATGTGTGTGTGTGTGTGTGTGTGTGTGTGTGTGTGTATGAGTTTGAATGAAAGCTAGACAGAGACAGAGACAGAGAGAGATAGAGGTAGAGTCAGAGAAAATGTACTGTGCCTCCTGTGATTTTTAGGGTAATAAAGAAATCCTGTAAAAAAGAAGAGTAAGCTTCATCTACTGTAAACTTTTAGATGATGTGGAGGGCTTTTCCCAGTGGAGGTGGTGCTAGGGAATGTAATAAAATGGAGCAAAGATGACCTAGGTATCATAATTCCTGAAAAAAGGGGCTTTGCTCTCCATGGGTGATAATGTTATATCTCATAAATAGTAGTAAGAAATCACCATCATCATAAAGTCATAACCCTTAATACAGACATTTAAAATAAGAAAGGTGATAAACCTTCTTGGTTTGAAACATATTGATAAAACCTTCAGGAGCAAACCTGGGGACTGAGAATAGACATTTACTGCCTTATTCACCATTTGGTTGCTTTTTAAAACATATGTTTGCTTCCCAGAATATTGTAGGCACACCTAAGTGATGGTAAAAATTACAGTTTAAGCAACAAGCCAGCGGAAGTCCAGTAGATTTCATTTTAGTTTGCGTTTTTGAAGATACCACTTAAGTTAAAAACCATCATTAACTGAATTACATCTTCAGTTGCCATGTTTTAAAGCGTCACCTTAAAAAGAGTGCATCCCACAATACAGTGCGTGTAGACGTTGCATTATATTAGCTAAATAACTTTTTTTAAAAAAAGCTATCTCTCAGCATCTTTACCTGGAGCTTTAATGGATTCATCAGTAGCAATTTGTTGTAATTTTTCTGTTCCACATTACAATTTGAAGACAGCCAAAACTCTGAATATCAGATTTGTGTGGTTTCCTCTCTCACCCTTCACCCCCCCCCACTGCCATGAAGACATCCATGATTAAACATCACAGAGATAATTAGATAAAATGTCAGTCTGCTTCATAGGATGCGCAGGAACTGGAAGTACAGCTGTGTATCATCTGCTTATATGTGATCTAGTAGACACAGCTGAATGATGTGTGACTCAGTGAAACTCTAAACCAGAACTTCAAGAATGAGGGATTCATGACTGTATTCACCTAGTCAAATAAATATGTATGTCAGCACCTGACCATTATTTCATTTTGTTATCTTTTCCACATTTTTGCTTCCTTTTTAAACAGCATCCAGAAAGATAGTATCTCTAGCCACAGTGACCTAGAAATACTTTGTGACTCTTGACACTTCATTTTCTGAGGCATTGTAAGAACTTGTGTAGACTGAGGTTAGCTTCAAACATATTGTGGAGATCAAATACATATTTTGACTAGGAGTTCTTAGCCTTCAAATTATAAAGACAGTTTAGGAAGGAGTGAAAAATAAGTTGTGTCTCTGGTGTCTGTTCTCTGTATGGAAAGGATAATGTGGCTTGCTTTATTAGCTGCAGACTCACTTCAAGTGAATGATTTCAAGATCTTGTTTCCCAGTAAAGAAGATGTTGGTTGATTAGGACTGGTTAGTCCTTTCCAGAAGCCAATATATCCCATCACTTAAAAGATAGTATGAAGGGGAGAGGGATTTAATTATGCTTTGTACTGAGGAACCATAGCCTCTGACCTAGGAAAAAAGCACTCCACTGTTGTTGTTTTGGGCTTAAAAGAAGGGATAGTTGAGTAAAAAAGGAAGGGAGAGGATTTAACTCAGACTTCTAAGTTTTGTCTTTTTAAAGAAGGGAACTAATCATCTTCTAAGAGATTTTTCAGGGCAGATAGGTGGCACAGTAGGTAGAGTGCCTGGAGCCAGGAAGACTCATCTTTCTGAGGTCAACTCTGGCCTCAGATACTTACTAGCTGTGTGAGCCTGGGCAAGTCTCAGTTTCCTTATCTGTGAAATGAGTTGGAAAAGGAAATAGCAAACCACTCCAATATGTTTGCCAAGAAAACCTCAAATGGGATTACAAAGAGTCAGGCACAACTGAAAACAATTGAACAAGAAAGAGACTTTTCAACACTGCTTGTGGTACTGTATTAGCTGACAACTGTTCAGCTACCAGGTGATGTCTAAATGATATCCAATGCCTACTTCAAGGAGAAAATGGTGGAGAAAGAAAAAGAAGTTTTGATTTTTCCCC